ACCCGCAGGTAGAGAGCGCAGGGGCTGCAGAGGGTCTTGGAGCGCCACCAGCCAGCCGGCCACGCGAGGACGTGGCAGTGAGGCCTCCGTGGCCTCAGCGAGCCGCCCTTCTCCTTCCCAGGGCCCCGGGGTGCCCGGAGGCCTCGCCGCAGCAGGCGCCCCCAGGACATGTGCCAGCGCCCGTCTGCCCTGGGCGGGTCCGTGTCCGGCGCTGGCTGTGCCGGCCAGTGGGGGGCCTGGAGCCCAACAGCTGTTCCGGCGCCTCGCTGCCCCGCGGGGCCTCTCCAAGGGACAGAGTCGACCGGGGACGCCCTGAGGGGCAGGCGGGGTGCCTGCGCCTGGCAGGGAGGAGCCCTCCCTGCGCCCCTCTCTCCTGTGGAAACGGGGTCCCGAAGCCCCTTCTCTGGTCTGTCGGCCCAGCGCCCGCCCGTCTCCAGCCCGGCCCCGGCACAGGGCCCTTCTCTCCCGCTGCCCTGCCGCGGCCGCACTGTCCCGACGTTCACCCGCTGCTTCTCTCCCACCAGGATCATGCGGCCCGACGACGCCAACGTGGCGGGCAACGTCCATGGGGGCACCATCCTGAAGATGATCGAGGAGGCGGGCGCCATCATCAGCACCCGGCACTGTAACAGTCAGAACGGGGTGAGCGCTGCGCCCTCCCCAGCCTGCGGGGCGGCCGGGGCTTGGTCTGGGCTCCCCCAGGACCTGGGCCCCTCTGGTGCCCGAGGGCGTGTGCTGTGCCAGCCACGGGCCCTGCCAGGCGCCTGCCAACCGAGAGACGGGGCTGGGCGCTGGGAAGGAGGGTCCGGCCGGCCCCCTGGGCCAGCACAGAAGGGTGGGCCGCTGGGGCTGAGGGCGGGGCGGCGGGGTTGAGCCGCCCCCAGGAGTGTGGGGGGCTTGGCTCAGAGGAGGGAGGGGTGGCTGTTGGCTGGGCCCACCTTGAGAGGACAGTGGGGGCTGCTGCCGCCTCACTGGCCGCTTGAATTTGTCCCTTGACGGCTGGGGCAAACCCAGCCCCGGTTAGAGAGCGCCCTCTGGTGGCCCCGGGCGGCCTGGCCTGAGCCCCTGGGCTGGGCTGGGGTCCCCGAGAGGCAGAGCCGACCTGGTGGAGGCCAGGCTGGACTGTGGACAGGGCGCCAGGGCCGGGCGAGGGGACGGGGGAGGCCACCCGAGGAGGTGCGCGTGTGACGCCCCCTGAGAAGCCCTTTGCAAATCTCTCAAATTCTTTGGCTGGCGTGATCCTCACGACTCCCCCAAGAGGTCGCACAAGGAGGAAACTGAGGCCCGGAGGCCGTTGACTCCCTGAGTCCCGGTCGGGAGGCAGCTGGCTGCTCTGGGAACAGCCCTGGCCCTGGCCTGCAGGCGGCTGCGAGGGGGTCCCGGAGTGAGCGGGGACTTCCAGACGCTCCACACGGCTGGGCGCTGACCGAGGTGGGCCAGGGTCCCCCAGCCCCGCCCCGGGCGGGATTAGCACCACAGCAGCCGAGGCTGGTAGGTCAAGCCCCCCCACCCCAACTGCCCCACAAGCCCAGCTCTGACTGGCCCCGGCCCCTGGACGTGCCTCAGGCTGCCCGATCCTCTTGGTCAGGACCTGCACCCTCCGCTCACCAGGCGCGAAGCCGGGACCTTGTGAACCATCTTTCTCATCCCTTTGGACACTGAGGGCCAGTCCTGCGGCTCTGCCTTCTGGCCAGATCCAGGTCTGAGCTCTCCGGCTTCACCACCAGCCGGCCCTGCACTCTGGGCCCCCTCGGCTGGAGCGGCGCCAGCCCCACCCCCGCGGCCAGGCCCCTGTGCCCCGCCTTCACCCCCACGGTGCCTCGGCTGTGGGCACGGCCCCTCTGTCTTGGGCCGCTCCCCGCTCCCGCGTGAGTTCTGGGCAGGGGCCTTGGGCTCGGCATAGCCCTGGGGGACACAGCCCTGGGTTAGACTAAACGGCCAGGTTGGGCCTTGGACCCCCAAACTCATCAGTGACTCCCAGCCTGGGGCGAGCGGGTCCGGGGCTGCAGGAGGCAGCGCTGGGTGCTCTGCCAGGCTGCAGGACCCTTGCTCACGTTGCCCAGCGGGTGAGCCTGCATCTGTCTCCTGGGCTGCTGCTCGCGGGTGTGCTGGCCACACCCGCCTCCGGTTCCCTTGGGGAGCCCTGCTATCCCCTCTCGGGGTGCCATGGCCTCCCAGCCTTGCCCGGCAGCTCTCGCGCACACGCCTCCCACCCATCCTCGTGGTGCCTGACGGAGCGCCGACTCGCTCGCGGCCCTGGGCCCGGCCCAGCCCAGCCGCGGGCCTCCCCCGCCTCCCTTTGCGCCGGGAGATGCTGCAGCCCCAGCGCAGGCTGAGAGCCAGGGCGGCCCCCAGGGGCAGGCGCTCCGCCTTCGCCCCCAGACCTGCCCTTTCGGCGGCACAAAGCCCCAGTGCGCACATTCCGTGGCGTCCCGTGGGCGCCCCGCTGTAGTAGCTGATCCGGGTCTCCCCGCCCGCACCCTGTGGGTCTGCCGGCTCCGCTGGGGGCGGCTGGGCCGGCTCTCGCACGCGCCCTTCCCGCTTCCTGCCAGCGGGTGGCGCTGCAGCCCACACATTCACCGGGGCTGCCTGCGTGTGGCTTTAGGCGCCGCGGGCCGGTGTGCCGGGGCTCCGGCGAGGACACCGTGCCTGCCCCGCCCTGCAGCCCCTGGCCTGAGACTGGGCTCGGGGCAGGGACTCAGGACCTCCGTCCTGTGCGCCTGGTGTTTACCCGGGAGGGGCGGCCGCTCTCGTCCTTCCAGAGAGGCGGGCGCTGGTGCCCTGGCTGGGCCCGCTGGTGCCCTGGCTGGGCCGTGGCACCAGCCTCCTGTGTGCTGGGCCAGGCCTCACGCGGCTGGCTCCCGCTGCCCAGGGCCCTGCCTGCGAGCCTGCCGGCGGCCCTCACCCAGGGGTGCAGGGAGGCCTCACTGGGACAGTGGGTCCGAGTGGCCTCTCTGTGAATCCTGCCCCCTGCCCCCTGCCCCGCCCACCACTCAGGGTAGCCAGGCAGAGCCTCCCCAAAGCACCCCGGGAAAAGTGGCTGGGCCTGCGGGGAATCCCAAGCGCCCCACTTGGTGGTGGAGACCACAGCCCCGCCCCTGGAGCCCCAGCTAGCTCGGAGGGTTGTCTGCACCCCGAGGTCACGTCGCGGCCGCTGTCCGGCGGGCTGGAGACAGAGGGGTGAGGAGTGGCCCTCTGGGAGAGGTGGGCAGGGTTGTTCCTAGCTGTCAGGTCCGCCCCAGGCGCTGTGCAGCCTTAGCAGTTGCTTTGCAAGGGGGTGCTGCGCACGGAATCCTGGAAAAGCTCGAGGACCCCATGTTCCCTCCGGGGCCTGGGTGGCTGGGGCGGAGCAGTCTGGCCCGGTGCCCACGCCCGGCCGTTCCTTGGAACCGAGCATCAGACGGGTCGTTGCCGGGAGGGGAAATAAACTTTAGATAAAGGAAAAGCGCAGTGGCGGTCAGAGCGCGTCACACGGCAGGAACTTTCCTCCCGCCGAGGCAGAGCAGCGGGAGCGGTCCGGGCCTCTGCACAGGACCCCACCCGCCAAGGCGGACGCGAGGCAGCCGGGAACCCGCTCTGGGGCTGCGCGGGGGCCCCAAACTTCCCCACGCAGGAGCAACCTTGTCGGGGCGCAGGGCGGGTCTGTTTTCACGCCTCGTGATGCCAGAAGCAGGTCTTGAGCGGGACAGTCAGAGGAAAGAAGTAAAGGAAGTGACCGCTGTGACCCC